CCTCCACAACTAGACTGAAGAACAAAAGGACAGCAACTTGTCTGTTCCCCTTCCCCCAATTCCCCAGCACTATTCCCATCCCCCAATTCCCCAATTAAAATCTTAAAAAATAAAAGACCCATGTACTTATGGGACGGTGATATATGACAGGTGACATTTCAGATCAATGGGACTATTTAGAAAATTGTCCAAGAATGTATAAATGCACAAAGGGGAGAAAATTGAAATTAGACCCCTTCCCTGCCTTATTCACTAAAAGCAATTCCACTTAGTTTAAGTATTTAAATATGAAAAGGAAGCTTTTTAAAAAATTCTAGAAGAAAATGGATCATAATACTTTTCTGATGGTATAAGGATTTTTTTTGAACACTTAATACAGAAACAGTTCACTGTAAAAGAAATTCTGCATACATGTGACTACATTAATTTCAGAACTTGTGTTCATTTAAAAAAAAAAGAGACTCTGGAAAGACAGGCCACAGACAGGTAACTAGAAGCACAAACTCAGACGGGGTTGCCTCTGGGGAGTGGGAGTGAAGAAACAGGAATGCGCGTGTCAAATACTATATTTAAAGGGACAACAAGGAACAAATGGTAGTAGAGGCTTTTTGGTGAATCAGACAGTAAATAGTGAAACATTTTCTCAAGTTCTAGCTTAAGCGTTCTTTAAGACAGATTCTACTAGTTGATATGGAAAGGGCCAGAGTTAACAAGCTCCCTGAGACTTCTCTTGTATTTTATAAAATAAAGGCAGGAGAGAATCCTGCATGCTGTATCAGTAAATTCAATGTCCTTATCAGCTAGCTGCTGAAGTGCAACTTGTGTCCTTACTTTAAGAAGAAAACCCCAAACTTTTTAGTCCAGCCACAGTTGGATGCCGCTTAGTAACCCACCACGTTGCGGTTTGAAGAATCTGAAAAGCCCATTTCTTGATTTGAGATGACAGGCAAGGATGGCAATTTAAATCAGTTTGGCTTCCCAGGAGCTGAGAGGCAAGTCCGCCCACGCAGCCCAAAGAGTATCTACCATTTGTACTAGAATTGGCAAAAAATCCCATTTTCTGGCTCCTGCTGGTGTGTTAAGCACATCTGCATTAATGGGGAACAGGTTGCAAAGGAGGGTGCCGAGCACTTAAAAAGCTTTAACGAGTAACAGACCCTTGATTTTTACCAGCGTCTCATGCTGGTGGAACTCCTCAAGTTTTCAGGCACCTGCTTTTAACCAGAAAAAAAAACACAAAAAATCTTGTTGGAAGCCTAAGTGAACTTGGAGGCTGGTGCACTCATTCCAGCCCCATTTAAGTATATTTAAATAAGATAGAAGCTCTCTCCTGCCTACATTCCCACTAGCCGTGTCTTTCAGGCCACGCCAGAGCATAATGTCACGCCTGCTTCTCAGGACACCCAAAACTTCCATCTTGCAGTCAAGCAGTGTGTGTACATTTTGTCTACCCAGCTGGAGGACAGAAAGACATTCTTTTTAATTTATCGCTACTACTATTTGGAATAGGGAACGTATTTCTGTCCAAATTCAAAAGATACAAAGGGTCCTCGGTAGTCCCTAGGCACGACACACACGACACCCTGTCCCCCAAACACGCACCCATCCACACATTCTCCAGCCCATCTTTCAAAAACTGTAAACGGTGGCAAACGGTTGTGCACCTTGTCTGTCCCACTTGATGTGCCTGGGGGCGCATTCCATGTCTTTCTAGAATTTCCTGCTGCTCAGCAGGCGCTCCTGCCCACTCGCAAGGTAGCAGCTCGCAGCTCGCATCGTGTGGGTGTGGCCTGTCCGTGGGCACATGCAGTGCAGTTGCTTTCTCTGCTGTCACACAAGCTGGATGGGTGTCCTTTTGCACACGTGCAAGGGTTTCCCCACTCTCACCATAGTGTGTTGTCGGCCTTGGAGCTGAGTGTTGCTAGAGTGCTGGGTAAACGAGGTATTGCAGCATAATTTCAATTCCATTTTATGAGGGAGGCTGGGGACCTTTCATTTGTGTCAGAGCAATTTGTCCTTCTGTTTTGTTAACTAAGTGTCCTGTCCTTTGTCCACTGTGCAATTAAGTTGTTTATCTTGATTCTTAGAAGCCTTTTATCTGGGATAGGAGTTGCAAGTATTCTATCCCAGCTTACTGCATTATCTTTTATCCTGATTAAATGTGGCTTTTGCCATGCCGGAATTTTTGTTTTTATGTTGGTCAGATTTATCAATCTTTTATGTTTTGGGGCTTTGTGTTACATTTAGAAATGCCTTCCCCACAAGGAGATGAAAGATATATGTGTTCCATGCTTTTTGGACTTCTGGGATTTCATTGTTTCATAGTTTAATTTTTGATCCATTTGAATTGTTTCCTGGTGACGGTGTGAGATGTGGTTTCAGACTGTATTTTTTTGCAGGTAGTTAACAAGTTTCCCACCGCACTTCTTAAATGATCCACATTTGCACACTAACTTCAAGATGCTGGCTCTCCATGTTATGAATTCCTGTGTGTATTTAGGTCTAATTCCTGATTTCCTGATCTACTCTATTCGTATGCCCTTATGCCCTGTTTTACTTACTATATAGCTTTACAACAAGTTTGGGGGTTTTGTTGGGTTTTTTTTTTACATTTTACTGAGGAACAGCCATGGTCATTGGTTACATGTTGCTTTCATGCTACAATGGCATAGTTGACTCTTTTAAGGAGGGCGCAGCTCACAGTGACAGGGCGCAGAGGTGGTGCCCAGTCAGCATTCAGCGAATGTCCCATATCGTGTCATGTTACTGGTCTGGAGCATGGGCCCTGCGGATGAGAGTCCCCCTTCAGATCTGGGCTCCACCACTTCCTGGCTGTGTGGCCTCGGGAGAATTATATAACATCTCTGTGCTTCTCACGTAAGAGTGGCGATAATAACATCCACCTTATAGGGTTGTTACGAGGCTTAAAAGATTTAATGCACTTAGAATATCCTCAGCACCAGGTAAATTCTGAGTAAGACAACCTCACCCTGCCTCGGGGTCTCCCGTGATCTCTCAGCACTCCGACAAAATGTCCCTCATCCCTGGTTGGCAGAGTGTGACCGTGGCCCAGGACCCCACTGCTCCCTCACACCCAGTGCTGCACAGCGGCTTCAGCACCGGCTGCCTCGAGACTCTCGGGAAGACCCCTTTGTGCCCTTTATCTCTTGTTACATCGCGCCCTCCCCATCCCTGAACCCCAGCCTCAGGCCCTCCCTCCGCCCCCACACTGGCACCGCATACAGCTCAGTACACGTTTCTGGCCCCATCTCCCAGCCCTCCCCCACCCATAAAACCCGCCGTCTGGAGCGCAGGGGCAGTGTGGGACGTCCCCCTGTGCGTGTCCCACCGTGTGCAACCCCACTGGGCACATCCCCTCTCCTCAGAATACCCCACCTCCATGCCCTTCAGCCCTCCCCACTGCCGGCTGCTCCGTCCCCCGGGCCTGCAGGTGACATGGGTGGTGGCATGGGTGCCCCTGGCTCCTGAGCGCCCTTGAAGCCATTGTCCCTCCCGCCTCCCTAAAAGCCTCCAGGTTTGTCCCACCGATCGGCCGTGTTATCCGCTGCCCCCGCAGAGCACTCCCACTCTGCCTTGGATGTGCTTAGCGCTGGGCCCACCATCACACTCTCCAGTGCTGTGGCTCTCGGTGGCTTCACTCTCCATGGAGGTGATCTTTACAAACCCTGACGTTTGGTCCTTTGAGTCTTGCCTCAGTGGGCTGCCCCCTGGAGCTGTGTGACGAGCCTCTCTCCTGGTCATGTCCTAGTTCTTAGCGCCACCAAGACCACCACCCACCATGCCTTCCATTGCAAGCGGCCTCTGCTCTACCCTCACCTCAGGGTTTTAGCTCATGCCTTTGGGCGCCCCAAGTTCCACAATCCTTCTGTTGCACAAGGACCTACAGCCTGCTGACTCAGTCACCACTTCCCCTATTGCCACGCTTTGTCGTCAAGTGTTACAATCAACTGTGATGACCACTCCCTGGCACCCATTCCCACCGCCTTTACTCACCGTAATTGTTTCTTTAATCGTTTGGCACCATCAAACCCTCACGAAACTCAGCTCTCTGCCCGCCCTCTCTGTGTCCACACCGACCGCCCTTTGGTCTGTCTTGTTGCTCGGGCCTTGGGCAGCGCTCGGAGCTGGCGCTGCTTCCTCCTGTCTGTCCCCTGGCCCCCCGTCTGTGCCAAACCACACTGCTCTCCTGGGTCATGGAACCGGTTCAGAGGGACTGCAGGCTGTTTTGAATTTCATAAGGGAAACAGCAAAAGCCAGTTAGAGAAAAGTGGGCGCAGGAAGATCAAAGCGAGATGCTGAGAGAGGAGGGAGGCCGCTCTGAGCTGATAAACTGTGAAGGTGTTTCCCGGAGCGAAAGACTACGGCTCATGCCGTTTAGAGCTGTACTTAAGCAACTAACACTTATTTCGGGGGTCTGGATCGCTCTTTGAAAGAAAAGGGTCTAAAATAAAGCCCAGGACTTAAATAGTTAGACCTGAGTTTGGACCCCGGCTCTGTCACTAACCAGCCGCCTGATTCTGAGCCGGGTTCTTCATCTGTGAACTGATAGTGTGGCTGTGAGGATTGATATGGACCAAGCCTCTGAATACGCTTTATAAAGTTCAGTGCTTTTTCCATTCCTGAACCTCTGATGTACAGTCCCCACCCCATAGATCTCGAGCGTGTGTGCGTGCGTGTGTGTACCAACCACAAGATGGTCCCAAGACCGACTAGCTGTAATTCACCGAGGCTGCTTTTTCTAGAAAGTGGCTCAATTAGTGTTGCAGCAGGGTCTTTGAAGCCTCTTCCGGGATGCCAGATGTGATGAGATGCTTTGTATCCACCTTGCAAAGCCCCCGCTTGCAGCAGCTGCAGCCTGCTCTTTTTTAGAGCTCCATGAAATGATTTCCCGTTGGCACCGGGAGCCCATCTCTCTGGGCAGCACAGCAGAAAGCCCAGAAGCGGCTCCGGTTTTGATTGCCAAGTCAGGGAGAAAGGGAAAGTAGCCTCCATTGTGAGCCCAGGTGTCTCCCTGCAGAAACTCGCTTCCGCCTCCGCAAGGCTGATGTCATTTTCTGCCACACGTGCCCCTGAGCTCTGACTCCTGCTGCTGAGAGGTCCATGCATGGTTGGATGTGCTCTCGGTCCGAAAATCTTGGGAGGCTCCTTCCCCTGATGGTAGACCTGGCGGACAAGTGTCTGTCAAGGCCGTTGGGAATGCGGGAGGTGAACGTCAGGTAAAAACAGACTTGCCTGTCTTCACTCAGGAGAAAAAAAACAGACGATTGTCACGCTGAGTAAATTATGCTCAATTCAGACTTTTAACTGTGAAATACTTCATGTTGATTTTTATGAGAAAAGGGTGAAATAAAAACATGTTGGGTTTGTGTAAAATACTTTTAAAGAGAAGAATCTGTGTTCGGCTGCTATGTGGACCGTCCTCTCCCGGGCTTTCCCCTCCAGGCCCGCTGCAGGCTCTCACCTTCTCCTTTGTGTGCCTCTCAAGACGTCCTCAGGACACACCTGTGGCTCCTTGTCACCGCACACCCTCACCCAGGGTGTCACCTCCCTGTCTAAGACTTCACTCCCCTCCTGGATGCTGTGACCCTTGAGGCATTGAATCGGCCAAAACCCCATAGCTGTTTTTCTTATTGTTACTTATTGCTAATCAAACCGACTTTGTTTTCAAAAGGACTTAAGGTGGATCTATAAACACACAAAAGATAAAAACTAAATACAGCCATCCTCTCTTATCATCCCTGGTTTCGCTCTCCTTGGTTTCAGCTCACCCAACTCAACAACAGTCCAAAATAATAAAATAAACGACTCCAGAAATAAGCACGTCGTACGTACGTTTTAAATTGCCCCGGTGCTGGGATGTTTACGTAACCTCTAAGAACCTCACAACAAAATACTTCAGAATTCCAATGGGAAGACAAGTCGTTTTAGAGTAATGGAGAGACCACTTAAACCCAGTGATCAAACCCTGTGTCACCCGATAAGATGCCAAGGAAAAGAGCTTATGTCTGTGATATTCTTGTCAAAGACGCATGAGTTTTAACTTGGAGGAAATCGCAGATCCAGAATGAGAGACATTCTGCAAAATAACTGGCTTGTAATCATCACAGATGTCAACGTCGTGAAAATCATGGAAAGGTCGAGGAATTGTTCCAAATCGAAGGGGGCTGAGTATGTGCATATATGGTAATAACTGAATGCAAAGAGTAATTCTGAACTAGGTTCTTTTGCTCTCATGGACATTACTGGGCAACGGGGTGACCCGCGAATGAGGTCTGAGGATACTGATGCTGACTTGCTGATTTTGGTGGCTGTATTGGAGCTGTGCAGGAGAAGAGCGTAGAGGGGGGAAATACACATTAAATATACATGTTTAGGGTGATGGGCATTGTGTTGCCAACTTATTCTCAAATGGTTCAGGAAAAAAATTTTTTTGTACGTGTGCGTGTTTTTGGTAAGTTTGAGATCATTTCAAGAAAAATATAAGGGAAAGCATCCAGTGGAGGGACTGCAGACTCCCACCACCTTCCCGCATGTGTTTGGTGTATAGTACATAGGAGCCACTCCCGCAGGCTCTCCTGGCCCCCTGTGATGCGGCCCGCAGGGCCAGCCGTCTGAGGAATCCACTCTGTTTTCTGGTCCTGGAGAGACAGGGTGGTCCTGTTCTTTAGACCCTCAACAGAGGGTAGGGGTGTTTCTGAAATTCCTTTTGTAGAACTCAGGCTGGGTCACCTCTGAATGAGCTTTGACTTTTAGAGGGTAGACTGCGTTTCTCCCCACCCCTTAAAAAGGGGCAGGAAATGGGGGTGGGGTGAAGGGACTTAGGGCCTGGATACCGGCAACAGGTGGTAGAGGGGGGCAGAAGTGCGGGTTATGCTTCGTTTGCAGCTTCCTCCTTGCCCCCATGTCTGTCCCCTCATTTTCTTCCCCACTTTGTTCTTCAGGAGGCTGATCCCCACACAGGGCACAGCCCGGTCCCTCGCCAGCTGGTTTCTACTTGGGCTCTGCCAGTGGGAGGCGGGCAGGATGGGAGAGTGAAGGAGAGGGCGGCTGTGGTGTTTCCCTCCCTGCCCACTCCTGCGTTGGCACTGCTGTCCTGGCGGGGGCATCTCCTGATGACTCTCGCCTCCTCTTAGAAACCCCTCCTCCATGCTCCTGCTGGTACCACCAGGCAGGGAGGGCTCTGTCCTGTCCCGCCACCGCAGACGCATTGTCTGACCCCACTGTGGCCACAGCAGTGGGACCACAGGACCTGCCCCTCTGCTCCCCCGGCTCAGCCCATCACCTTGCATCCCGAGGAAGCTGAAGAGGCCTACAGGAAGAAAACACAGCTCCGCCCTGCTGTGAACAAAACCCACATCAAAAAGAAATAAGAAATTCCACCGACAACTTTCTCAGTACAGCATTTTGAGAAGCAAAGGATTTAACAGAATACATCACAAATAGGCAACAGATTGACAGAGTTACTTTTCTCTGTCCAGAGTTGCTTTTATCATCTGGAAAATAATGTTTATTTAATAGTAAATAGCATTTGGGCAAGACTGGGTGGAAGAAACAATCGACCGCCGTGGGAGGAGCAGCGTGACACCCCCCCACCCCCCACCCCCACCCCCGGCCAGCAAAGCAGAGCAGCAGCTGCCAGGAGCCCACTGGGCAGGGGTGAGGGCTCAGGAGGCAGGGCGGGTGTGTCAGTTACTCTGGCCTTGAGAGGAATCACGCGAGGTGAGAATCCTGGTGAGAGCCACTTGCAAACAAGCTTGTGTGTGTTCATTTGCATCAGCTCACATGAGCCAACGGCTTTGGGAAGGAGTCATCTTTGTGCCCACAGTCATGTCGGGGGGCTTGTGGAGGGGAAGGGCCACCCTGTCAAAGCAGTTTCCCAAATCAAACTGAATTATCTGCTAGGAGGGCTGCAGGCGCTGGGGAAAGCAGGGGTGAGGCCCAGGCCGTGCCCCAAGGAGCCCAGCTGTGCCATACGGCCGGTGATGAGTGTGGGACAAAGGGACATGATTGCTCCCATGCAAGGGGACCAAGACAGAGTTATAGAATTCGCAGGGGTTTGAGGCAGGCCTGAAGGGACAGCTGGGATGTTTTGAGGCAGAGATGACTGCGTGGGCAGCAAAACAGAAAGCAAAGCCTGTGGG